AACGTTTACTTTAAACGCGTGCACTTCGAAGATCGCTTATCTCTCTCGCTTTATCGTTATCACTGGTGTATATCGCTGGCTGTTTGAATTTGTAAATTTTTGTTAGCCTTCATTTTCAATGCTGTGCACACACTTGGCACGTCGCGAGCACCCAGCCAGATTCCAGAGCCTAACCTAGCCTAGCCTTTTGTTTCTATTAATTATCAAACACTTTTCCCGCTGCTGCTGGTCGAGACGCGTGTAATTAACACGTTCTCGATGGCTTATGAGTTGGCCACTCACTTTGGCCACCCAATCAGCCCCCGGGGTGGCGGCTGTTGCATTTGTGCGACTTCACGCTGGCCGCATTTCGTTTTCGTTTCAGCCACTTTTGGCCTGTCAGCAGGGGCATAGCGAGGGCCACAATTGAATTAGCCACCAAAATAGCCCTGAACCTTGGCTGCTATTTAGCCTGTAGAAAATCCAATTGACCACGGACTACGAACCACTGGTGGCAAGTTCATTGATAAGACCCCCAAAGCTTAACCAGTTAAGGCTTTGGCTTTATGCAATTCGCCAAAAGAGCGAGAAATAAGCTGGTAGAAAGTGTCTGCGCCTGCGCCTACACGGGCTCAAAGACCCGGCTGGCGGTGCCGCCGAACAGGTCCTCTTCCCGACCAGTTTTCACAATTTTTACTTTTTTAACCTGATTCAAAAAGGAAACACAAGTGGCCGCAAACGGGTCAAGAAACAGAAACAGCAGCCGCAACAGTTGGATCCGAACGGCAGGCAACCCAACTTGTTGTGGTGCCATGAGTAATGGTATCGGAAATGCGAGCAAAATCCCTTGCTCAATAAAAACACAATCAGCACGTCCGGTTCCACCAAGTTGTCCATCTATCCATCCATACAGTCACCCAGTGCAACTCGTCTTTGATAAGTTGTAGGCGTCCGAGACTGGCGTCGTCATAGTCGGCGGTATCTTATCGTGGTTTAGTTAACCCGTGTTGCCTAAGGTTTGTCCCCCTTCCCCCCAGTGGCGACTACTTCTCCCTGCTCCACTAACAGCCCTGGTAGCACAGCATTGAAACTTCTCAGAATGAATTGGGGATTTCAACAAAAAATTGAATTAAAATTCCAAACGTGCAGAGTCAGCGCGAATTATTATGTTTGGCCAGGATGCATAAACAAATCAGGGAAATCGCACAAATCACACACACGGACACACACTTGACAGCTGCATTTGTTATAAATATTATGAACAATAATTGCCGATATTGTTGTACATTTCTTTCAGAAAACACTTGGCGGCGGTGGTTGCACGGCGGCGGCGACGACGAGCGATGAAGCCAGCACCTCCATTCGCTTGCGAGTTGTCGTTGCGACTGAGCAGCCCAGCGACAAGTTGGCAGCGAACAAGTGTCGGTTGCTAGCTTGCTGCTGCCGCTCGACTTCGGTGCGCACATTTCCAGTTTACAGGCGAGCCAAGCGATCGCTCGAATTCGCCGTCGCCGTCGTCGCACGATGCGTGCGCCCGCCCGCCCAATTGATGGCTTGTAATTTAAATAAAAGATGATTGAAATTGAAAACGATCGGAGACAATGAAGCATGGGGAAAGCGGAACTATTCCGCTGCCGAACAGCCTTATCATTCAGATTGATTTTCATATTTGGAGTGCGTTTTTCGGCCACTTCCGCGTTGCAAGATGTCACCATCGACTGCCTGAGTAATGAGCCAGACCAGGTCGATTAATCTGCTGCTCCCGGGTGCTGGTTCATGAACACTTGGCAAGCGTGTTTTATGGCAAATGCAAAAGGTTAATAAACAATGACAGTACAGTGTTGGTTCGCGTATGAAAACGTTATTTTATCGACAAAGAAAGCGGTCGCCGCTAGTGGCTTATAAATTACAAAATGCGACTCTGATTAAGCCAACTCCCTCCCCGCAGAGCGGGGGAGGGGAGATGCTCTCTTGCTGCAACTACCTAAAAAGGCCAGGCCAAGTGCATTAAACAATGAATAAATGCGACAACGTCGCGCCTCAAGTTGTCCGTTGTTTTGAGTAATATGCAAATACGCCTTAAATACGCAGGCGCATAAATTAAGCCAAGGAAATGCATCGGACAACCCGCCAGGATCTGCCAGATCCAACGCCCACGTTTCGTACCAGCGTTCCAGCCTCCCGAAGGGGGTCATCGGCGGCACAAAGAAATCGCTGAATCCGCGCATTAATTTACAGTAAGCCGACTGAAGGAGGATGACTCTTCACTTGCAGGAACCAGCAGCCGAGATTTCACTCGCCTTATAAGGTCGCATGTTAATTTGTCTCTCTTGGTGCTCCTGCTGCTCGAGCGGCACTTCTTTATGGCCCCGTGGACCATTAAAGACACAAGCGTTTACAAGCCATTGAAAGAAAGCGAGTCCCAAGGAGTATCTAAAAAGCGGCGTGGGCAGGACACTCGGGCTGTCACTGCGCTCTGACAGCTGGGGAAATACCAGAGTGGATCAGTAGTAGGCAGAGCCTGTTTGTCCAGGCCAGACTGCGATTTCGTTCGCAAGAGACGCTGTGCCTGAATTTATTTTACTCAACGAAATATTAGTTTTGGAATTAAATATTCAAATAATTTGTGCAACCCTTGCAGAAGTAGTGTATTAATAAAGTTCGGTTAAAGATTTATAGAAAATGTGTGAAGAATACAAATAAATAGGTTGGAATTATTGCTAAATAGAAGAAAAGAATTAATCTATGGCAACTGCCCATGTTTCTTTGTTTTGTAAGTTTATGAAGAAGCTTATGATTAGGCTTGAAAGTGACGAAAACCAACCACTAAACTAGAAAATAGAAACGGTTGTACCGATGTAAGCCTATTCCGACACCCAAAATATTTGATTAAATTCTTTTCAAATTTAAAAACCCATTCTTATGATCATACGATCATCGAGGGAATACATTTAGAATGACTTTTGCATTATGTTTATCAAGTCACAATCTTTCTGTCACATATCAGAAATTGCTTTAGTTCCTCAAATAGGAATACATTCTTGTGACATCCCCAATTAAGCTTGTGAGTCCGTCACCCATCCGATTTACTTACGTGGGCTCCTTGGCTATCTGGGCCTTCTTGGCATCGAGCTCGTGTCGCCTTCGCATGGCCGCCGCCGACCGGGTGTGATGTGTGTTTGTGATGCGCGGCCTGTTGGAGCGGGGGAAAAGCAGTGTCTGAGTACTGAGATTCGGATGAGGTGCCTTCGGGATGTGTGAGTAATCCGCGGGGAGTCACCTCCGCGCAACGGATGCACTTACACATCCCCGAGAGCAGCCAGAGAGCCGGATGGATTGTGGCGAACTTACGGCGATGGTGCCTCTGGTATGGGTGGCGAATGCTCGGCAGTATCGAGTCGTCGGCGCTTGTCTCGTGTGCCCGCCGAGGATCGATCCCTTGAGTGGTGGCGTCTCCGTGTTCGGGGCATCTGAAGGAATATACAGAACAATTGATTATTTAGAAAGGTAACTCCCGAGGTAGCTACTAGGTAGGCACAAAATTATATTTTTGTACTTTTGAGCTGTAAGGCAAAGCTGCTCAAAGTCACCTCACCACCTCCCGTATCCCCCACCCCACTGTGTATTCCCAACATACAGCTGGCTGGCACGCACACACACACAAGCGCGCCCAGCCAAATTGCAGCGCCTTGCGCCTGTGTTGGTGCGTGGAAAAACACATTAGCACTAAAGTAATCACGGGCTTTCCAATTTTGTGCATTTTCACATTTCAACCAGGCAAACATATACCTTTTATCTGCTTGCTTCTTGCTTTGCACGAGCGCGAAAATTGATTTTTGTTGTATGCGCACCGCTGGCTGTGGTATTGTTGTTGCGCTGCTTGGCCAAAGCGTCGATGTCGCCGTCGCTGCTTGTGTTGTTTCTCCTACTGTACAATTTACGCAGTCGCTGGCTGGAAAAGCCTCGGGCCCACTGCTGCTGTGTGATGTTGCACCGCCTCCTGGGCTTTTGGCAGACTCCAATTGTTGTGCGTTTGCAATGAAAATAGTGTGTTTTTTCCCAAAATTCACGTCACTTATTATATTCACCACGTCTAAGGCAGAGCTGCCATATTGGTCTAGCTCCTGCTCCGACGGTGCTGCCAACTCGCCACGAACATGTGCAAGCGTTGTAGCACATATACAAGTATATATAAACAATTTGTTGTTTTTGTTTGCGAGGGATTTTTAAAATGCCGTTTAAGGTGGCTTCACTAGTCTTAATCCAAGCAATTAAGTAATTAGCGGGAGAAAGCAGGCTGGCCGCGAGTTGGCAGCCCGGCGCTGCGGCGTGCGAAATCAGCCGTTCACATGGACATGCGCTGGCGCGTGCGTGTGTAGGTGCAGCGATTTTCCAACGACAGGTAGTATTTGGATATCTCTGGAACGGCTTTCCTGTTATCTTACCTCTTCGTTTGGCTGGCGCGGCGTAGTAGGAACTGGTGGGGCCAGCACTGGAGGCGGCGGCGGAGGCGCTGGGAGCGCTAAGTACGGCGATCGGGGCAAATACAGGCGTCGCCACAGGCCGCTGAGGAGCGTCGTGAGCGAATGCCAGGAGAAATTCGCTTGCTTCGGGCTGCCGGGGTGCATGAGTTTGTCCTTAGTAGGTAGCAGTTGCATTGGTTTTTGGCCTGTGATTGTAGTTTTCACCCCTCCGCTTTTTGGCGCCCTTTTAGGCTTGCTGCTGCGCTTCCATCTCTACCAGCTTCCCAGCGGTTCTGCTAACACCTGGCGTTTTCCATTTGGCAAGGCAGTCTTATTAATAGTTTGTAATGCAAGTAGTGTAATTTAATGCGCTGCAATAATACCAACGGACGAAAAATTGAATTGCATCAAACGAAGCGCGTCGGCAGCTGATTCTTGGTTTTTTAGTGTTGCCAGATGGAAAGTTGTTTTTTTCGCTAAAAAATCTCACAAGCCCAGGTGGCTCCGCTTTCGCGGCATCTGGACACACTAAAACGCTGAAACCCTCATAAACGCGCGGTATGGTAACTGTGGTTGCCAAAAGTCTGGCAACGCGGTTAGTCTAGAATGAAAAATTAAAATTTAAACATTTGAAAATTGTAATTTAAACCCATATAAAAAAAACAAAATAAATAAAAAGACCCAATAAGAAATGCTTATACATTTTGAAACGGTATTCGTATTCTTACAATTTGTATGTCCGGAAACAGCTGACGGCGTCATGCTCCCCTCTGCGCTTGCGCTGCTTTGGCGCCCAATAAAAATACGGGGCAATCTCAATTGCATAACAAAACGCCAGCGCGGAATAACGGTATCGTTATCGTGTGCCCACGCTCAGTCAGATACTGACTGACGTGCCTGCCCCAACGGTCGTCTGCGCGGTCGTGTGCCCGTCTCCTCGACTCGACTCGATTTCTTCGCCCTCGTCTCGTCTCGCTTCCGTGTCCCGCGTTACCTATTTTTTTGTCGTCGTCGTCTCCTGGCGTCTGGAAAAGTCCACCAGCCAACCATTGGATAAAAAAGGCCACCGGAGCAACCGCAGTTGTTGTTACCATTAAAGGTACCAACATAGCCAGCAGGCCGCCATTTAAATGGCTAAATAATTAAGTGCACGATATGCCCCGCCCACGGATCGAGAGCTGCTGCTGCCATTTGCGTGAAAAGCCCTGCTCTTAGCATCGCTCCAAGTCCCAAGAACCCGTCAAATCCGAACCCGTAACCGAATCGGAGTCCGAGCATCCCTGCTGGAGGATTCGCTCGGAGGAACGTGTGTGCGCGTCCCATGGCAGAAGTGAGTAGAGTAAGTTTTATCGATTTTTGCCCGGGCCCGGGAGCTGGTGGTATTGGGGCCTAATCCGAGACTCGCGTGATTCCCATGGAACATTCAATTGCACACACATTCAGACACACACACACCCACGCGCACTCGGCGCAGGCCTTTTTGGGTCACGAGGCTGCTGCTGGGCTGTGAGCGTGTGTCCTGGCCTGCGCGTCTCTGTGTGTGTTGACATTGTCCTGGTCTCGTTTTCCTTTTCGTTTTCCTTCTTTACCCATCTATAGCCTCGCAGGGTATTATAATTTTGACCAAAAGTTTGTAAAAACTTAAGAAATTGGTATTACTTTTAAGTTCCTTGAAAAGTGGTTCAAAAGTATGCTATAAAATATTTTGGTCCTGTTTAAACCGGTTTATTTTTTTGATATCTTAGCATCAAAAGCCGAATAAATCTAGAAAACCTTTAAAAGCATATAAAGTATTTTACTCAAACAATAAAACATCCTTACGGATTTTCTACCATATCTTATATCTTTTATTTTTCCTCCAAATACAGTGGCAATAATAAGAGTATCAAAACTTTGCATTGCCGAAGCTAGGTTCCTTTCCTTTTTGTTTTAACTATCCCCATCGCTATCGCACACACCAGCACGTGCTTTTTTTTGGCCAAGACATACGTAACATCTGCATGAGGGATCTATAATTCATGACGTTTGGCTTTCGCTTTCAGCTGGTGCCTCTGCCTGTGCCCTGCTAGCTAACCGGAAACGGAAACGGCGAAAACGCAACGGAACCGAAAACGAAACCGAATCGGAATCCGAATTCGAGTGCGCAACGGATACCGTATTCGAGCACGTAACCGACCCCGGATTGAAGGCATCCGCAAGGCATGGACACCGCGGCCGCCGCCGCCGCTACAGTCGTCGTTGACCTGAAGCCCGAGGCCAGCGGCAAGACGCCGCTCCTCAGCAGCCCGCTGCTGTCCAAGACCAGCTTCTCCAATTCTGGATGCGAGTGCCTGGGCAGCACAGTGGAGGCCATGTCGGTGACGCCGCCACCAACGCCGCCAGCGCTGCCAGCGCGCTCCTCCTGTGATGTCCATGTCGAGCCAATAAGCCACAGTGCCCAGCCGGAGACACATCCGTCGAACGGACTTAAGGGAAAGGAGGCCGCCGAAGTGGCCCCAACGCCTGCACCCACGGAGTCCGGACAACCGGAGAGGGAAATGCCAGCCACATCAACGTCTTCCGCCAACGCTTCCACAACGCCAACGTCTGCCTTGCTCGCAACATCCGCAACAGGAACGGAGCATCAATTAGCGGCTGGAACGGCCACCAATACTCTGCCAATGGCCTGCAGCAGCAGCAGCTCCGATAACGGAGACGGTGCTAGAGCTGACATTGGCCATTGCGGGAGTATTGGTGGCCGGTGCAGCTCTAGTGCCGCCTCCGTCTGCGGTCCCAACTCTGGTCCCAGTGTTGACCAGCTGCTGCTTTGGCAGGACATGCCACAGTACCTGCAGTTCAATCCGTACGTGCTCCGTGGATACCGGCCGCTGCAGACCTTCAAGGGCTGCCTGCTCAGCCTCTTCTACTGGCACAACGAGACCATCAACATACTGACGCATGGTGAGTGGTAAAAATGTATTATCCTTCTTAGCGGGGTCTTCTGGGTATTCATTTTAATGTCATCTTTCATTCACCACTACTCACTCCACTACTGCTCCACAGACGGAGAGCCTGCCAGGGCTGAAATTTGGGGCTCAGGGACTATTTTGTCCGGTTTGCGGCTCCAGCTCTGGTCCCACGGTTGACCAGCTGCTGGTTTTAAAGATTAGGTACATCCTCCGTGGATACACCTTGGTTTATTCCTTGTCGTTCACTCTCTGGTCCATCCCCTTGCTCACTTGCTTAGCAACTGGAACTCTGGCCAAAATGTAGACCAGTTGTTGCTGTGGCAGGATATGTCCAAAATATCTTCTCCTGACTATCTGTCCGGTTTGCCTAAAAAAAAATTTCCAAACTGACCCAAGGTGAGTGCCACCTCGTCGTCCCTTCTCTCCCTCCATGCCATGCATTCTCCCGCCCACCTGTCACCACTTGCTCATTTATCGACCCGTCCGAGTGTGTCGCTGCTCGTTACAATCACGGCCAAAGCCAAGTGGAGGCCCGTAAATAGATTAGGTCGGCATTTCTAATGAGCCTTGACTGAGGTTGTCTTGGGTTTATATAAGGAAACAGAGAACCAAAGTGGAATGCTAAATATGGGTGCTTTTGTTTTAAACATTTAATAATTTTATTCTTTAAGAATTTGATTTATTAAATAATCATTTTATTTCAAATTATTTCTTTTAGAGTTCAGTAAGACAATCTTAAATATTTTTTGAATTTGAATCATCTTCTAGTAGAGGAAACACTTATCCTGAGGATTCATGGGGGATCCGTCGGCACAGTTAAACTCCCTGGAGAACTCTTCAAAGTTCGATAGGGAGCCAATGACACGGAACTTGCCAGGCATGTGCTGGTCGGTGGACACCTGCAGGGCCTTGATGTTCGGATGGGCGTCGTTGCACCAGACCTGTGCGAAGCTAATGAAGAACAGCTGCTTGCCGGTGTAGTTCAGGGTGGGTAGTTGCTCCATGGCCAATGCTTTGCTGCCACCCGGCTTCGTCAACTGGATATCGTACCACTCCCGGTAGGCGGTGTAGGCTAGGCGCACGCCCGCATTGTCCGCAATGTTTTCCGACTGCGAGGTGGACTCCTTGAGCTGTATGCCGTCGTAAATATACTTGCCGTACTGCTGCGTGAAGCAATGGCGGCGGTCTAGGAAGTTGAGGCTGGACCTTTCGTCCCACCAGTCGTGGGAGTTGCCTTGGGCATCGAACTTTCGGCCGCCATCATCGAATCCGTGGATCAGCTCGTGGCCAATCAGCGAGGCGAGTGTGCCGAACATCACCGCATTGGGGTAGGCATCCGCCCAAATGTAGAACGGCTGCAGCAGGGCCACTGGCACCTTGATGACGTTTTCCACCAGGATGTTGGCCGGCGTGTAACTAAGCTGACTACCAGCCTCCAGGGGCTTAGCCGGCTTGTGGAGCAACTCTCGCATTTCCTTGGCGCTCTGCGCTAGCGTCTGTCGCACGTTCTCCACGTAATCGCCGCTCTGCAGATTCAGACCAGCGAACTCCTCGGTAAAGTTCACATCGGCATAGTTGTTCACCTCCAATTTCATGGCCTGCAGCTTGGCTATGGCCAGATTCCTGGTGGGACGCGAGATCCAGTTGAGATGCGGATTGGATCTGAGGGACTCGTTAAAAGTGGCCTTTAGCTGACGCCACATATTATCGATCTCAGCGGAGGACTTCTCGTTGTTGTGGCGCCTGTAGAACATATTGTCCAGATTCTTGGCAAAGAATTTCTTTGTCAAATCCACACATTCCTGCTTTCGCTTCTCCGGGTTGCTCGACGGCGATTCCACAAACTCATAGATAAGGCGGAAGAACACGTAGTTGGCCACCGTCCGGAGGGGAGTGCGCTGCATTACCTCGACCAGGTTTTTCATATAGCGAGAGTTGAATTCGTAGATCTGATCGGTGACCCGTTCCCCTAGGGTCACAAAGACCAGGCGATTAATGTCCAGAGTTGGCGCATACAGCTTGTGCATCTCCTCCACCGTCAGCAACGTTGTCAACTCATTAAGATCCAAACCCTCGCTCTCGTCCACGAGCCCCATGGCCAGATCCACCTCGAAGTCGATTAGCTCCTGCGCTGTCGGCTTGGCCAGCTCCTTCGACACTTGCAGGAATCGCTGCAGGTAGCGTTGGATTGTGCCGCGATACTTTTCGCGGTAGACCTGCGTAGCGTTGCCCTCGTACATGGCCCGCGACTCGAGCGGGAACTCCTGTTGACCCAAGTAGACGCGGTTTCTCTGGTTGCTGGCAAAGTCCTTGCTCACCTCGGCACCCAAAATGGGAGCTATTCCGTAGCGGTTGGACATGCGGGCGACCGTGCCAAGCCAGTCAAAGTCTGACTCTTTCCAGCTGGAGCCCTCGAGCACAGGCATTGATCCGAACTCGGCGATCAGCCTTCTCAGCTTGTCGGGATATTGGGCGGAGAGATCCTTCAGTCTCTTACATGACTCGTAAAAATGCTTCACCTGTATGTCCTCCGGCGTGTCGTGGCTATCGTGTCCCTCGTTAAGCATTTTCACGATATTGCGATTAAGCCCCTTGGTCACCGTCTCAAAAACTCCGGTGGTGAGCACTTCCATGCGGAACGCCGAATTGATGTGGTCGTAGTTGCCGCAAGAAAACTCGTAGAAGTCGTGGCACGGATCAACCTTGGGGTTCATAAAACTCTTCATTTCAGCGACCTTAGACTGACGTAGCAATTCCCTTATGTATGTGGTATTCGAGTTGAGGTCCTCCTGACCTAGGGTAGCATTCCCGGTGGTGGGCGCTGACCAGGCCATGGCAATCAGTAGGTGGCCCACAAGGCAAATGTGGAGCAGCTGCATCGCGTTGCGTTCCGTTCAGTTTCAATTTCAAAGATCGACTAGACAGCCTGCCTTTAAAGCATGAGTTCATCACCGTTCCAGAGAAGCTGCGCCGCTCCTCGATTCTCAGAAAATAAGAGGCGACCCCGGGGTTATCGCAATCTATCTATCTCCGCTCCGTTTTTAGGTGGCAATACGAACGCTGGCGTGCAATTGAGAAAGTCCGGTGAGGGGGTAATGAGCTCTCCCAGATGAAGCTCTCCAGCATGGAGCTCTTCAACGTATTATCTTTTAAAATGCAAACCAATAATTTGCAAAAGCTTTTATGTTAGGGTGGTTTTAATTCATATTGTATTAATATTATTCATATTGAGCCTATATAGGGTAATGTGAAATGGTAACAGAAGTCGTTTCTATAATTTGTCTTCAGATTAATGTAATATCAAATGTAGTTTTATTTTTGATTCAAATCCAATAAGGTTTCCTTATTCTCTATATCACTTAATAAATAATACATAGAATATTCGTAATCCTCTTATTTGCTTTTAGTCTTAGGTTACCAGATGCTATAAATATTGGGTAATCGGTAGATTAGTTAGTAATGACATGTCTGCTAATAAATTTTGTCACAGATAAATATTAATATTTAAAAAACTTAAACCTAAGCTTAAACACCTGTAACCAGCGTCTGTAGCCAGCGCCGATTACTGTACGCCTCCCAAACAAAAATTAGTTGCCAAGTTATTATTATTATTATAAAAATTAGAATACATACTGCAAGGGAAATCCCTTTCTTTATTTTTTGTATTAATAGTATTTAAACTGAATGATAATTGGATATGCATACATGTTTCTGACAGTGTAGCGACCGCAATAAACCCTAAGAGAAAACTGGTCGGTCACTCCCACTTTGTCGACTAGTGCAGGCCACTGTAATAAAATACTGAGCAAAGTAATTAACTCGCAATTTCTCATTACTGGCTGCCTCAAAGCGTTCCTTCCAGTTATCGCACCATGACGTGAGCTGGGTATCAATCACGCTCTCCCCACTAGATGGGCTTGGGGTGTAGACATAGTGTCCGACGACCGAGCGGGTGATAAGGGAGAGCTTTGCCTCCGCTCCCACTTCCACTGCCATAAAAACAACCATCCACAGTACATATTTGGTTATTAAAATAATTCTATATTTAATTTTGAATTATTTAGTTTGAATATTTAATAAAACTTACAAGATGTATAATTTCAAACACATCTGAAAGGAGATAGGTTATCAAAAAACAGAATTTGTGTTTTCATATGTTGGCTTATCAAACTCTGCGTATTATGACCCTTTTTCTCTCTGTGTGGCTCAATAATCTCAATCTCAGCTTGGGAGTGTAGGTGCGGAAGTGCGTCGCACCGAGCTGCCCGTTTAGTCGCCCTCGGAGTGTTCGCCATGAAGAACATTGGTATCGCTTTCGCCCTGCTGCCGCTTTTGCTTCAGCTCCTCCTGACGGGGAGTGGCCGAGGTCACCTGCTGTCCGGCCAACCGGACATTGACCTGACCATCCAGGCGCAGGAGCAGCTGATCTCGCAGCACAACGATAGCGCCTATGTGCAGCGTCTGATGCGCCTGGCCAAGTCCGCCGAGATGCGTAGCTACATGCAGCCGGAGCTGGAAGCCTGCGACAATTTCTATGACTACAGCTGCGGTCATTGGCCGCAGATAAACCCGGCCAATGGGGTCCATCCCCGCGAGACCAACTACGAGCAACTGCTGGTCAAGGCCTATCATCATAAGCAACAGCGCCTGCTGGAACGGCCGGCGAACGGGGAGGTGGACGAGTTGGCGGTGCTCCGGCTGAAGCAGTTCTATGCCAGTTGCCTGCTCTTCCGGCAAATGCCGGAGGACGTCTACCGCAGGCAGCTGCAGGAGATCGTTGCGGAGTTCGTGTATGTGCCTGATTTGAGTCAGCCCGGCCAGGAGTGGCCCACCGAGGACTTTGATTGGCTGGACACTGTGGCTCGGATCAAGCGGAAGTATGGCTTCAATATCCTACTCCTTCTTCAGTTGTCCGCGGATCGTATTTACGTGGGTCAGCCCAATAAGATACAAGCGCTGCCGGATCGTCAAGCTCGTGCTAATGTCATACGGGATCACTTGGAGAGCCACTTAGGCGTGGAGGAAAAACTGGCCAAGACGTGGGCTCGGGAAATCGCTGATTTGGAGCAACAGATATCCAGAGGCATGGTGGAACGTCGCGTTGGCATTTTGTCCCAGTTGCGCAAACCCGAGGAGTTGGATGCACCGAACACGGAAGCCTTCAACGTCACGCAGTATGTTGAAATAGTTATCGACCGCGAATTGGATCCCAACGAGACGCTCTACGAGCATGTGCCCAGTTACCTAAGCCATCTTGCCAAAGTTGTGACGGATGCATCGCCTCAGGTGCTCGGCAGGTACATCTTCCATGAGCTGCTGCAGCACTTCTTCTACGAGCGAACGGGAAACATAGTGGAGCAGTGCGTTAGCAGGGTAAGGGATTTGTTCCCAGAGCTCCTCGACAACATGGTCTACAAGCAGTACGGAGATGCAGCTATCCTCAGCGACATAGAGGGTATTTGGCAGCAGATCAAGCACAGCTTTCGAGGGGTTCTGGAGAACTCCTCGGCCGACTGGCTGGTCGTGGAGACTCGTGAGCAACTGCTGGAGCATCTGAATGCCACCAGCCTAGTGGTCAATGGACACGCCGATGTAAACTTCACCCAAAGATATGAAAGTCTGGAGCTGAAAGATCGGGAATACCTGCAAAACCTCAAGGCCGTTTTTAGCCGTGAAACTCTCACAGCCAAGATTATACCCAGCACTTCGCTTGTCTACAATCCCTTGGAAAATACAGTCCTGCTGCCGGTGGCATTGCTCCAGCCCAACATCATGTGGTCCCGCTACTATCCGAGAGCCCTACGCTTTGGCAGCCTTGGCACGCTGCTTGCCCACGAGCTGGCCCACAGCCTGGAAGATGCCTCCAAGTGGGATGCAAAATCCTTTGCAGAATATGCCAAGCGGAAGGCATGCTTCAAGGAGCAATATGGACGCCTGCGCCTCAATGGAAGGTATTTGCCCGAGAGCAGCTTACAGGCGGAGAACATAGCGGACAATCTGGCTATCCAGGTGGCCTATCACGCCTATAGGCGGTACTTGTCGGAGCTAGCCACCTCTGCCCTGGGAACGGAGTCGCTGCCCCAGCTCAAGCTAAGCCCACGCCAGTTGTTCTTCCTCAGCTACGCCCAGCTGTGGTGCAACGATGCCAATGAGGAATTTCGGGACAAGCAATCCCTGCTGAAGATCCGCACACCCAATGCCCTGCGGGTGATGGGCGCACTCTCCAACTTCGAGACCTTTGGACGAGATTTTTCCTGCAGCAGCGAGAGCCGGATGACCACGCCGCAAAAGTGTCAGCTTTTTGCTGCAAGTTTGGATTAGTTACCAGCTGGGGATAACCATTTTTTAATAAAAGTATAATAAAAACTCTGACATTATAAAAAACTGGAATGGAGAATCTTCTAAATAACCTCCAGTTGCTGAGAATTATTAATTTATTTGAATTTCACTTTCTTTTTTTAACAACTTGAATAGATAGATTTTACTAAAACCGATTTAATATATGGCGCACTTGTACTCTGGATCCATTCGCGCCGTTTGCGAACAGTTGAAAACCCAGGGGAACTCCTGGAAGTTGGACAGAGAGCCGATCACACGGTACATGGAAGGTGCATGATTATCCGCCTCGGCAAGCGGGGTTTTGAATAAGGAATGGACGTCGTCGCACCACAATTGGGCGTAGCCCACGAAGAAGAGTTGCTCGCCGTTGAACGAAAGTCCCTCCAGAGTCTCTCGCTGACGCACCTCCTCCGTCTGGCTCGCCAACCAGCGCTGATAGGCCTTGTAGGCCAGTTTTATGCCACCATTATCAGCGATGTTCTCCGACTGTTCCCTGCTCTCTGGCAGCTTGGAGCCGCCGTACTTGTACTCGTGGTACTGTGCCTGGAAACACTTGCGCCGCTCCTCAAACTCGTAGCTTGATTTCATGTCCCACCAGGGAGCCAAGTTTCCAGCGCCATCGTACTTCCTTCCATCGTCATCGAAGCCATGCAGCATTTCATGGGCCAAAAGGTAGCCCAAAGTGGCGTACTTCAATGCCTCCGGATACTGGTCGCCCCAGAAGTAGCGCGGCTGTAGGAGAGCCACCGGGATTGTAATATTATTCTCCTGGATGTTGTAGGCTGGCGTGAAGCCGAGAATCTCGGTGGCTTCCAAAGAACGGGCTGGCTGATCTAGTCTTCTTACGTTCCTCCTGCCCTTTGAAATCAGCACCTGCTGGAGATTTGTCACATAGTTGAGCCCATCAATGGCCAACTCGCCGTAGAACTCCTCGAAGTCTTCGTTATCGTAGGAGTTGATGTGCAGCTGCATTCGGCTTAGCTTCTCGATGGCCAGCTGCCTGGTGGCGTTTGTAATCCAGTCCAGTTTGTCGCCCCTCAGCTGCTCCATGAAGATGCCTCTCACCTCGTTCCAGATGCGCGTTATCTCCGCCTCCGAGTCAGGACTCCGATACCGCTGGTACACCATGTGCTCCCCAAGCGGACCGAAGTACTTCTTGGTCTGCTCCGTGCACCACTTGGGCAGCTCTGTGGGTTTGGAGTCCGCCAGGTAGTCCTGCAGCAGATTCCACAGCACAAAGTTGGCCTGTGTGGCCAGGGGAGTGCTCCGCATCGTGAGGAGTGAGTTGTCCAAAAACTGTTCATCATTGACGTAGAGCTTTTCCGGGACATGCTCATCGCCTAGCACTAGGCTGAAGAACTCGGTGAAGTTCAAGTGGTCGCCGTACTTCTCTTGCAGCTCGTCGAGCGTGTAAAGGGAAAGCTGTTCATCGAGAGACTTGCCACTCGAGCTACCTGATTGCAGACTCTTCTCCAGCTCCTGCAGCTGCTCGGCAGTGTGCTTCGCCACGGGACCACTTACACCCAAATAATTGTGCAGATCCCTGGCGATGGTGCTTTTCTCCAGAAGATTGATGAAGCCCGAAGAAGAGGGCTGCATTGCCACGGGTCCGAGGTAAACACGATTAACCGACGTGTTACGGATATCAGGCATTATATCCACCCCCAGGATGATCTGTTTGCCGTACTTTTGCTGAATCCGGGCCACAGTTCGCCACCAACTGAAGTCGGTTGCGTTCCATTGGGAACCGGCTAGGGCCGGAAAGTCACCAAACTCCCGGTAGACATTTTCCAGAGCCAGCTTGAAGCTCACATCGTCACGATTCAAAGCGGTGCAGGCCAGATAGAAGCGCTGCATCTTCTTTTCCAGCTCCGATTTCAGCTCGTTGGAGCGCAGCAGGCGCTGGAGACGGCGGTCGAATCCCTTGGCTATCACCTGGAATGTATCGGTAACGACATGGCTCAGTATTTGGGCTGGATTGTGGCGATGCCAGTTGCCGCAGGCGTAGTTGTAGAAGTCATCGCAAGGCGCCACCTCTGGATTCATCATGTTCTTAATGTCGGCCACCTTGGCCTGCCGGATAATTTGGTTTGCATACTCCGAGTCCAGGTCGTCGGCGAAGGGATCATCCGCGCCCGAAGTTGGCTTGGCCAAAGCTGGAGCCGTCGCCAGCAGAAAACAGATCCACAGAAACCCACGACTTGTCATGATCTCGCTTTGAGAGAAACTGATTTCCAAGCGCTCTGAATTGCACGCGGTGACGGCCACATTATCAGCGGGATTTGTTTATACAATGTCCAGAGTGCTGGGGTAGGTCAACCTGTTATCGCCACCGGCGCCGGCGGGGTTTTAAGCTCTTATACAGGCTGTGCTTATTAGTATACGAGTTTTCATCTGAGAATGGGTTACACTAGCATTTAATGGCTCGAAAAGTATAACAAAAGCTTGACAATTGGCATTGTTTACGTTTAACCAAATCTGTGTTATTATTATTTATGAACAAAAACAATGAACATGATAGTCTATTTATTGTAGTACTAACAATAAAGTGAAAGTAATTTTAAATAGTAGCACATGATGTCACTCATATCATACCGTATAATAACATATAATTCAAAAACCATAATCACTCTTTCCATGACAACAATAAATTATATTTCTAACGAGCAGTAAAGACCCCGTTGAGTACCCATTAATAGATTCTCCTTTCCTATTACAGCCATACCCATCTTCTACATTCTGGCCATCGTGCCCGGACTGATGCCCTGGGACAGTGGCTACAAGTTTCTGTCATTCTGCCATGTCTTCGGATCGGTTGCTCCCTGGTGCGGCAGCTTTGTCTACCATCTGTTCATGAACATCGAGAAGGGCGAGAATGTCTATTACACGCTTCTCAAGCTGGACATGGTCGGCATCTGGGTGAGCCAGAGCTTTGGTGAGTACAATCGCGATAATGAAACTCAATGAAACGCAGACGCTGCTCGGAAGCGGAACTGTTTATATTTTATTATAAATCGTACATGTATGTGGGAACTAATCTCGCAATCTGGTAGACGAAAGGGAAACCTCAATACATGAGACATCTGTGTGGGGGATTCATCTTGGTCTGATTGCCGCACTGGAAGGCCTCAGCGAATGATTGACTGTTGGACATCATGGCAAAAACCCGCGACTCGTGGGGCGGATGGGCGCTGTTTCGGAGGAAGGCAGGACGCCGGTCGAACAGAATGTCGGAGCACATCAACTGTCCCACGCCGAGGTAGAAGAGCTGCTCTGGGGTCTGAGACATATGGGGCAAAGCTTCTGAGTCCAAGGTCTTCGCTTGCTCCAGCCACTTTCTGTATGCCGCCTGGGAGATGCGGATCCCCACATTGTCGGCGATGTTCTCGCCCTGCGCCTCCATCTTGGGCAGCCGCAGGTTGCTGTAGCGCATCTCACTAAACTGTTCCACCAGGCAATCCTTTATCAGATTGAAGCCCACCGTGGCTTGGCTGCTCCACGTATCATGCAGGTTCCCCTTGCTGTCGTAGAGACGGCTGAGGTCATCGAAACCATGGGCCATCTCGTGACTCAGGATGAAGCCCAGGGTGCCGTACTTCAGAGCCACCGGATAGACATCGTCCCAGAAGTAGCGGTGCTGCATGTAACTGGCCGGCAGCACCACCAGATTGGCCTCCGTCAAGTAAAAGGGCGATCCGATTATGCCGTCGTAGTAGTTCTCGGTCCTGGAGTCCCGCATCAGATCCGATCGGAGGTTTCCCGCCTGGTTGGCCAGCAGGCGTCGCACGTTCCCATAGTAATCGGCGGAGCTGATGACCAGACTACCGTATCGCTCCTCGAAGTTAACAGGCTTCTCGCCCGCCACCTCGAAGTTCATGCTCTTTAGTTTTTCCACTAGGTCCCCACGCGTTTTCTCGTCTAGCCAGTCCAGCTCCTCGGAACTCAACATATCCTCGAAAACTGTTTTCAGTTCGATCCACAGCAGCTTTAGATCGGTGGGCAGGTGGGGGCTTTGCTGCTCTAGAGAGTAGTAAACCAGGTGGTCCACTACATCGGGAAAGAGCATTGTGATTCGCTCGGCGCAGATCTCCTCTTGCTTCTGCGCATCCGCCTGAATCTCAAAGTCCCGCAGCAGACTGGAGAGCATGTAGTTGGCCAGCACCCGGTTGGACGTGGTCAGCAGAGTCTTCTTTAGTTGGAACAGATAGCCGGGCACGTTCTCGTACACTGGCAGGATATAGTCGTGGCCCAGCCAGGAGCTTACGAAGCGCGTAAGGTTTAAGGCCGGTCCGTAGGCATCAGTCATGTTGCTGAGCATGGTCAGTCGACTTCTTAGTCTCGGGTCGCGGTCCATGCCACGATCAAGGACGCTGCGACTCAGTTCCGCCTCCAAGTCAATAATTTCGTCAGCAGTCTTCCTGGCCAGCTGCTCTGAAAGTCCCAGCTGCTCTTGCAACCGTACCGTAAGATCCAGCTTCTTGGCGAGGCTGGTGGCCTCGTCACGCACATCCAGATCGTCCCTCTGGCCCAGATAAAGACGGTTTATCTGGGAGTTGGTGAAATCCGGAGCCACATAGACTCCCAAAAGAGTTAACTTTCCGTAGCGACGCAGGAGCTGGGCCATCGTCTCTAGGGGATCGAACTGGAACTCGTCCCACGAGGAGCCTTCCACAGCAGGCATGCCACCGAACTCCCTTAAAACGTTGAGCAGTTGGGAGCGCTGGTTTATCTTTAAGGCCGCGGTGTCGAGGCAGGATTCGTAGAAGTATTTGACGCGCGTCTCCATGGGCCGATCCGAGCTCATACGCGGCTGGTTGAGGATCTGCCTCGCGCGACGCAGGTAGCTAGCGAACATGACCTGACCTATGTTGGTGTCCTTATCCGGAGTGGCCGCGTTGATCGACGCGTAGTGGCCGCAGGCATAGCCATAGAAATCATCGCAGGGACTCACACTTGTGTCGATGAAGGAGCGCATCTCCGCGGACTTGGCCAGTCGCATGATCTGGTGACCCAGGGGTGTAGTTAGCTCCTTGAACACTCCACCCTGAACGGCCCCGGTGGTGACAATTGAACCGAGAGCCAAGGAAATAAAGATTAGCCAAGCGGAAGCTGGCAGTGCCTCCATCGTGTTTGAGTTTTGATTTGCGACTGAGCCGAGACGGCTTATCAATGACCAGACTCCGTGTGCTCACCTCTCGCCGACCACTATCACCTCCTCGGCTCTCTCTTTTCTTTCAGGTGCCCTGCCCCTGGTCACAGCCACAACACTGTGCTTCCCGCCCGTGCTCAAGTGGCTAATTATTGTCTCCTATTGCCTACTCTCCCTGTGGGGGCTTTACAAGGTGAGTACCATAGTTTTTAGAAAATACCGAATCATTTATTACCAATCCTTTGCAGGCCCTCACTGCCAGCTCACCCTGGCAGCGTCGCTTGTGCTTCGCTTTACCCTTCGCCATGCGCTCCATTCTGACCTTCCTGCGCATCCGGGGAATGGTGGGCGGCAGTCACATGGCCCTTTCCCATGTCTACCTGCAGGTGCGTATGTCTGGGCATTCCAATTGACTAACTGCTATTTTCTATAAATAACTAAACGTTTCTGGCTGGCCTCTCTCGATGCGCATAGGTTGAAGTTGTAAGTCACATTTTCATACATATGTACATACGAGTTAATGGACAGAGCCGCTACCCAATTTCCCGGCGGACACAGAACACGAAAGACGCTGTCACTGTCAGATCCAATCTAATCTTTGGACAACCATCTCCGTTACAGGACGGTGTCTCCATTCTGGGCGGTGCCATTGGTGCGATGCGAATACCGGAGAAGTGGTTTCCGGGCGTGGTCGACTTCTATCTGAACTCCCACAACATAATGCACGTGCTGGTCGTGGTGGCTGTTTATTCCATGCACAAGGTGGGTTTATATCTTCACAAGGGTCTGAGTAGTAGTATTATATTTATGAAATGAATATATTCATATCTTACTTTCATTCAAAAATACTATAAGTACTAAGTCGAGATATACTGTAACTTAAAGATACTATGTGGTTCGAGCTATTTAAGTTCGATTTCGAATTAAGTAGAAACCAGATTTGGCTTAAAAATATATAATATTTTCCAAGGAAATACATTTTTTTTCCTCAGTTTCCCTGTCCTTGGCTTATTCTTCAACCGAAACCCTTTACCCATCTTGGAATTTAAGCTCTCAACTCGTATAGCAAAATGGATATTGGGTTTCATAGAATGATACTTTAAACTAAATTAACAATTTTACTCCTAGGCCACCATCAAGGACTTCGAATGGATGTCCACGCAGACCTGCAACACAGTTGCTAACGTCACCGAGGAGGCGCTCGGGCATGTGGAGCTATGACCCGCTTACTGGCTGCTGCCGTTGGTGCTGCTCCCATTGCCTTGGATGCTGCTGGCCAAACGGCGCGCCCGGTCTCACATAATTCGTGCCCTGATTGCCCCCATAGCCTGGCGGAGGCGGAGGCGAGCACCCGTCGCCGGGTGAAAGCGCAAGCGCCTGCTGACTAGATAGACAGAGGACAGATCACAGGATCGATCGAAAAGACAAACGCTATTGAATATACCGTGTATAAAATAGAGCGCCGATGCTGTTGCAGTAACAATATACATACGTATATCTAGTGTAGGAATAGGCCATACATATATGAACTGTATGTGTGTATTTACATATAGGACATACTTCGACTGTGGTATTAAGCATTAAGGTTATATAATTACTGAGACGAGACGGACGGACGATAGGCGAAGAAGGAGGAGGATGAACTCGGAACCAAGTCTTCGGATTTTCACGCTAAACTCTTGGCAACATTGATGCAAGGATGTATCGGGCTAGGGGATTGGGAATGGGAAAGGGAATGGGTAGTAATGATTTGAATGATGTTGATACACATGTACCTCATTGTGCTTACGACAACACATCTAATTTTCAAAATAATCGTACGTATGTATAACTTTGTACCTCGTCGAAAATTCTAACAATAAGAACACCTATAAGCTAATCTCTTCCTAGTTGACTTTTTAGATATGCAAATTGTTATTTTCGGCCAGCTAGTGGTAGTGTTAGCCTAGTCAATGCTCCAATCTGTGCATAGTTGTGAACAAAACTCAACCACTCAGCGGTGGCCAGTCGGTCAGACAGTAGTTAGAAACCCGTATTCAAGTTGGACAAGTGTGAAACCGAAACCGAAACAGAACATAGAACAAGAACAATCTTCTGGCAGGCCGCTGATGCTGCAACGAATCACGTACATACATACGTAGTGATCGCTAGGAATATATACATACATAGTTCGATACGAATTGGGTTTATATTTATATCATTTATGTCAATTGATTGCGCAATATTAACCTCAAGTATTTATATATTGAGCTCCGCTCCCCGAGTATTGAATATTATTAGAAACCGCAATATTTATTACGAGTACCGTACCCCCTTAGGTGTTAAGCAGACAACCAACCAAAGCAACTTAACTATATGATAGCAACCATTCGAACGTCGGTCTATTTTAACCCAAGCAATGCGAACAACTATGAGTAAAATACGTTTTAGTAGTGTCAATAATTTACACCACCCTCGATCGTAAGATATAGACAGAGAGACGGAAAGCGAGCGAGATAAAGAGAGCAAATCTAACAATGGAACGTAAGCTAACAAACTAATTCAACAAAGCAATAATTAATGGGCAGACTCAATGCTTTAACTTTAACTTTAAAGTTGCTGCTAGGCGTAAGTAACAATTATACGAATAATGTAAAGATTTTCTGAGAAGGTTAATAAAACATTAAAAGTGTACTTGATGAGCAAACGAAATTATTGACCACTTTTGTTGTTAATAAATGAATTTTATAGGGTTTTGGGGGACTTGAGGCGATTAATCAGAGGGGATTTTTATTTATTATGGGATTCTCATGATGCAAATGGTGGAAACGTTGGGTAAGTAACTTTTCCGAAATGTGTGGCCTAATTGTTTATCGATTTTTAACTACGTAATGCCCATAAGTCTATAATTGTTATTAAAAATAAAAAAATGGCAACTCGGACTTAATAAAACTCAAATAAATTTAAGTATTCTTATATATTTTTCAATTAAATGAAATCAAAATTTTAATCTTAAATCGATTATTGCTTCATTCTGAAATTTAAAGCAGCAACTCCCCGGCTTCAAATTATTCCCAATTTCTCAACATATTTAAATATTCCGAATTTAGAACTTTAATTGTTTATACTTTATTAAATTCTTTAGTAAATTCTTATACTTGCGCCATGCATTTATAGACAATATGTATTAAACTTTCATTCCATAATATTCAATGTATATTCGAGTTGTTGACTAGTTGTAGTGTATGATTAGTTTTCATTCCTTCTTTAAATACGAGTTTAACGCTTTTGATTGATTCGCGTTTTAAAATATATATATGCAGACACGTACATATATCAAGACTATATATAAATAAGTAGTTTTAAAAAATTTACAAAAATGGAAAACTTATCTGATTCGTTATGAAGCTAGTAGCACTTTAAAATTCCTAATTGCTTTTCGCATATATATATATATATATATATATTTATATATTATGATATTTATAGTGTATATGTCTATATATTTCTGTGTAAATATTTTCGTTAAAGTAAAAACTGCATTGCACATTTTGTCGGTGTCTTGCTTGGTATATTTCTATATATTTCTTGCGTTGATGCCTTTTGATTAGAGTTGTGTATTTTGGTTTTAGTGTTTGATTTCCTCCCAGCTTCATTTTTAATATAAAACTTTGTTCATCTTTATTCTTACATCTTAGTTTCTGTTAGTAACTTCATCGACAATTCCCGTAAAAGTAATTGTTAAAGTATATGCATTAATTTTAAGCAACCTATTTGATTACAACATTTGTTTCTATATTGCGCTTTGGACTTGCAGCAAAAATTTGGCACCGAAAATAATGAGAGTAGAAATGTTTCGATTCTATGGAGAGAGCTGAACAGTACTAGAAACGTAGCTAAACAAATAATAATATAAATTACTAAGCGAAATTCAATCTCACTCTCTGTGGGTTGAGGATACTCCTACTCCTCCTCCTTCTCCTCCTTCTACCCTGGCTGGTTCAGCGCTGCGCATAGGAAAAGTCCGTCTGGGCATGGGCATCTTGACTACCCTGCACCTGGTGATATTGGGCATTCTGCTGCTGATGATGATGATGATGCTGGCAGCTGGACACCTGATCCACCTGGTAGCCGTACGACTGACGCTCCAGCGTTGAAAAACGCGAGGACATAAGACTGGTTCCCAACTGCTCCTGTTGACCCTGCACCACCGAGAATGTCAGACCGCAGGAGCAGTGCTCTATATGGGGCTGAGGCGTTGTCAGTCCCGGCGTGGCATGCACCTGAGCCTGCTCGGTGATGATGGTTGGTGGCGGCGACGGCGATGACAGGCAATCCTGGCAGTAGTGAGGAGGCAATGTTGCCTGATGATGGAACTGGCTGAATGAGGGCGGCGGCGGTGGTGGAGGCGGCGGCGGCGGCGTCATCGAGTGCGTTGAGGAACTAGAGTCCATGGACTCGGTGGCCGTGTCTGTGGCCGTACTAGCCGAGGTCGATGTGGATGAGTTGGGCTTGTGTGGCTGGTGTGGCTGATCGGGTGGATGATGGCAGCGACATATTGTAACTCAAAAAGTGCCGCCATCGTGTTGATGACTAGATGAGGATGCAATGGCAGATGCCGCCGGCGGCGGTGGCAGAACCTCAACAGCAGCAGCAGGCGGTCCATTGGTCTGGTGCTGCAGCATGGTGTAGCCATCGCTGTCGCCATTCTGCTGCTGCTGTTGCTGCTGTTGGCCCAGATGATGGTGACTGTTTGTGGAATGATTCTGATTCTGAATGTGATTGAGTTGTGTGCTGCTGGGATTGGGTGAGTGTGCCTCGTCGATGCCGAGTGTACTGACCCCATTGCTCGTCGACACGGCCAGGGATTTGGGCGGAATGGGCGGCGGTGGCACGGGCAAATCCTCTACGTCAAACGAACTCGCTGAGCTCTCGCGCTGGGTGATATTCATGGAAGCGGTGGCATGTATGTCCAGGCTCCCGTTGCTGCTTATGCGACAGTGCTCCCTGTGATGCACTGTGCTGGCCGAAATGGACGACGAGTCCTCGCTCAGGTTGTTGAGATTCATGTGGTTGAGTTCCCTGGAGCTGGTCGTGGAGATGCCCGAGTCTCGAAAGTCATTGGGGGCAAAGCAAACACTTAGGTGGCCACCGCTTCCGTCTTGGAAATTCGGTGGCAACGAATGCGGCTGCTGATCTGCCTCGGGATCATCGTAGCTTATGTCCACCACGGAGTACTTCTGGCCATGCTGCTGCTGCTGAGACGAGTGGCGACGACCCACGGCATCGGAATTACCAAAGTCATTGAAAATGAGGGGATTCGAGGCCCTCTTGTCCGGCGTTATCCCTCGCGGTGGTAGAGGTGGAGCTCCGGGGGAATTCCACGCCGGCTGCCGCTTGGGAGGAACTTCCGGGCTATCCATGGCTCCGTTGGCGATAAAGTTCTGCGAGCGCGGACGATTCGGCACTGGCGGGGCTGAGCCGTCCTCAAGAGGAATGCTGAGACTCTCCTTGCTCAGGGTTTGATATGAGCTAAGAGGATCCACTGGCCGTAAGGTGTCCCCCGGTCTCGTGTATATCTCGTCCAGATCATAGACATAGTTGGCATTGGAGTTGGCATTTGCACTGCCAGAAGCCGTGGTCTGTGCCACTCGCTGCTCTGTGGGAAGCGGTGGCAGCGGTGTGTTCACAATGCTCTCCGAGTGCTGCCGCTTCAGCCGTCCCATGCCGGACAGGCTTTGCTTCAGCTGCGAAAAGCGTTCCAGGAGGCGATTGTGCAACGGCTGGACGCCACTGGGCGCCAACTGACCATGTAGCTCCAGGGCTTGCTCTAAAATCTGGATCTGTTCCAGAATAAGAGCCTTCAGGCGTTGCACGTTGGCTTGTTGGCCGGCACCTTGCGGGGATTTGAGGAACTGCTCCGAAAAGAAGGCCTCCTGGTACTTGCTAATGCCGCCCATGACATTGGCATCGATGGTACCCTGCAGACGCATCGAGAAGGGATTGATGTTGCGCTTCGGGTCACGCTTATACTGGACAATCAAATCGGAGAGTTCCTTGCCGGCGTTGCTGATGATCTCGCAGGCGTACTCCACCGGCGTCAACTCCTGCATCGACTTTTGCTTCACCTCGAACCAGCGCAGGATGCCAGGCAGGGGACTGGAGATCTCCAGAATGGTGCGCTCTATCCACAGCGACTTGAACTCGTTGTCCTTGTCCACGGGTCCCTTGTACATGGGCCGGTCGTATATGAAGCGCGTGACATCGTTCACCTCATAGAAGCGGGCTATTTTCTCCGGCACCGGCACCATAGCCGTCTTCAGGGACTGAGCATCGCCCACGGGCCTCACATTACTGATCTGTATGTACTGGTCGGGAGCGTTGAGAATGGCATTGTCCGGGGGACTGTTGTTGCCCAGGATCTGGGCACTGGGAAACTCCGTTTGCAGGCGCTGCGTAAAGGCTCCAATGCGTTCGTACTCCAGTCCACGGTACACAAATTGCTTATTCTGCAGGAAAAAAGGCAAATAAGGATTAACTCAGAGGAGAGTAAGGCTTAGGGATAGCAGTCACGACTTACCCGCACAAAGAGCGGCAAACCCATGCCATAGAATCCCACCCGGAAGTACTCCGGTTCTGGTCGCAATTGCGTCAGGATGTTTTGAAAGAACTTGGCCTCCTGTATGAGTATATCGCTCAGCTTGTTGTAGTCAAAGCGCCGCGTCTCGTAGAGCTGTGCCAGTTCCTTGCACAGCGGGATGCCCTTCTCCCAGCACTTGCCCTTGTCGAAATATTTAAGGATCTAAAAGAAACAATTTGAATATTAAACTATTTTACAAAAAAATCAAAACGAATGGTGACAAACCTCATGGTAAAGTCGCTCCTTGCGCTGCCACTCCGGCTGACCACTGTTGTCGAAGGGGGCAAAGCTCTGGGTCTCCCGATCCCAGCTCAGCATGGAGGCATACAGTTTGAGAGTAAAGCCCGCCTCGGTGTAGTTCTCTGCCTGCAGATGCAAGTTGTGCAACTTGTAGATATATCTGAAGGAAGGGTTAAGAATCAGAAAACAGATAATATATATTTAAGGTGCAAAGCCACCTCAGATACATCTCCTTGCGATTGATTTCGTTTTTATAAAAGTTCAGCAGATTCACCGTGCAGGTCATGCGCTTGTCTCGATTCTCCTCGCCCTGCATTACGCTGCGATAATCCAGCAGCCGCTCCAGAAGCCGGGTAACAGAGCCTATGAATGCAATGCCAGCATCCTTCCAGTTTGGATTCTCCAGCTGGACCTTCTCCAGCAAGCTGGCAACACACAAAAATATAACATTACTTTAAGGAAAAAAACACAGAGATGTCGGAAAGGAGAGTAAACACAAAAATAGAGGACTAACTACACGTAAGGCGAGGAAAAAATTGCACAGAGTTAAACTTACACCAAGCTGAGATGTTCCCTTTTTATGGATGGCGATTGCAATGAGTGTGAAGTGAGACATATATGTATATATATTTACAGACATTTACAAACATTTATGTACAAGTGAGAGCAGCTTGCTTGCCAACTTACATGGTGCTGAAGAGCTCCCTGTACTCGTCGTCCCCCTTGTTCACGCTGATGAGCAGGTCCAGCTTGTCAATCAGTTCGCTCTCAACCAAGCGGAACGATCCCCGGGCAGCCTGGGCAAGCACATTTTCATCAATTGCCAAGTACTTGGTTCGGTCAATGACTCACCTGCTCGCACTGCATCATATCGTAAAAGACCGATAGCGTAGCTTTCCTCAGAGCGGGCTCTGGGACCAGGGTGACCTCCAGAAACGGGCCCACCATCGAGGGTATAAAGTGCAGCTTCTGCTCGC